CTTTTAGGAGTTGGCAGGGGGAGGTAGAGAATTAATGTAGTTAAATGGGCACACTGCAAAGATTGAGTTTCACATTGGGTAAAAATCTGGACTACTTCCTATCTGGGAAACTGTAAAGTCCAACACATTAACTACATTGGCACTAAGCGTCCCAGTTTCCTCCCATTAAGCTCATTTGAAAGGCAATCACAAGTGTGCAGCCCATTAGCTTGACATGTATAGACTTATTTTTTTCTTCCTTTGTTGAAAGCATGATACAGAACATCAATCAGCCTTTAACATTTTTTTGATAATGAACCATAGATACAAGTATATTTTATATTGTGACTCAACACACATTGACAAAAAGATTTTATGAAAATTCCAGTATTATGTGTAACATACACAATTCATATTTGTTAATTTATCTCATTTACAAAACCCTTCTTGTGACTCATTGTGTTGATTCAGTGATTCCAAAACAAGCTGTAACCTATAGATGGGAGACAAAGATTGCAAGAAAGAACATAGAAGCTGGATGTCTAGGCTCAATTCCTAAGTGTTCAGCTTAGTTGCTGGATGAGGTTTTCTGAGCCTTAGTGTTTCAGTTAGCATGGACCAGGTTATGCTTCAGTAATGAACAGTCCCATCAATTTAGAGAAGTAAAATTACTAGAGTTTACTTCATCCTCATCCTGTATTTGAGGCTCACATTTTTGTAATGTCTCACAGATTCAGAATGCAGGCGGTGTCATAATAGCAGCCTCACTTCTGCATCTACTGACAGAGCAATTTGACTTTCTGCTGTGAGCACTCATGGGATTCCTAAGAGAATTAAAAGAAAGAAGGCATGGTGGTTGTACATGTTATAACTTCTGTTTGTGTCCTGATGGTCTTGTTTCCATTTTCACCCCTGAGAAAATCCCACCCAGTCATGTATGTTACTATTCTTACATGGAAACAGTGTTTTTCCATAGGTAGCTTCCTTTCTCCAGTCTGCTTACCTTAATTCTGTTCATTATCAAGACATAAATATAAGGCCTTGGTGAGTAACCTTCCATGCACATACCCCCTCAAATGCCTTCTCCATTAGAAGTAGAGGCCTCCTTCATGCCCTTCTTATTGTGGCTTTTTCTTTTCCTTTGCTTCCTTCAGTGCTTTGTCCAATCCTTTCAGTTGCCTCAACTTCAGTTGGTCATGTGATTCTTCTTGATGCCAGGCACCTCCTCTGTTATTCTAAGCTGCCTTTTCTATCATTTTATTCCCATCTCAAGAAATATTTGTGGTTCCTTTCTCCTAAGCACACAGACCTTTGCCTCATTTTAGAGTCTACCTCAAGGGATCCCTTCCTTTCTCATTTTCTTCTGCCACTATGACATGGTGCTCTGGCCTTCTAGCTCTCTGCAATGTCTCTACAATAAAATAATAACCTTTCCCCAAGTTTTGTGCACAGGTCTTCTACTCAAATGACCTGTTCTCAACTGTTGCTTTCATGAAGTCAATGTTCCTTACATTGATTCCCTTTCACTTGGGGCACATTCCCCTCCAAAATGTGAGCTTAGAGTGAGATGGGTCCTCTCTCCTTCTAAGATCCCCCAGGATTTGTCCAAGTTTGATATGTATACTGTATGTGATGGGCTATGCATCCAGTGTCTTCATTGTCATGTTTAGATCTATGTTTTAGAGACAATATATATCCAGGGTGTCAGTGGACACTTTGTGAGTGTCTCCTGAATTGAAAAACTCCCGAAAGGATTTCTTGGGAATTTTCTAATTCCTTCAGCTGGCCTGAATTCTCTATTCTGCTCTGGACTTCTCAGTACTTTGTAGATTCCTCTAATTGCTTTCCATTTGCTATTTCTTGGCATGACTGGATTTTGATCAGGAATATCTTACTCATTATTGCAGTTTGAAGAGGGCCTGGTGCTTTAGAATGGATAGACTGTTGACAGAGAGACACCCAGGTAGAAGAAGACTTTTTAGTGATTGGAGATATAGGGACTATATTGGGAGAAATCTCCATCTATCAGTCTTTTGGGGCAAGCTGGGTAGTGATGACCATTGATTAGCTTTTGATAGTAAACATGTTTATCACTCAGATTAATGTCTGCTCCAAGTCAGCCAAATTCTGCTTTACCCTCCCTTCCTGGAGTCCAGGGAAATTAAGATGCTTGACTGTATGATCTGTTATTCTTTGGTAGAAGAAAGTGATAGAAGCACACAGTAGGGCTCCAGGAGATCTGCAGAGAAAAAGCTCATGGCATTCCAATGCACATTCTGATTAAAACAAATATGTCCACTCCTAAAGATGGGCCCAGTAAATAAGGACAGTGAATAGTCTACATATGAACATAGTCATTTATAATGGGAGCCATCTTCATGTGCAAAGAATGCCATGGAAACAGTGTCAGTCTTTTTGATCTCTTGTTTTTTTTATCCCCATCTCATTCTTACCTGGGATGATGGAAAGGGTCACCTATTTGGTACATTTGGGCCTGAGAAATTGGTGTGCAATGATTCACATCAGTCTCATTCTGCATGTTTACTACCCTGCTCTATCTGGGATCAAGAGAGACTCCTTAGAGCCAGAATTGCCTATAACCTAGTATGCATATCTGTGGAATTCTGGAATTCCATTTATTTTTTCAGAAAATCAAAATCTCCAATTTAATTCATGTTTTTATTTTGTGTATGTGTGTGAGCCTACATGTGCTTGTATGGGCCACATACATTCGAGAGGCTGTGGAAGCCAAAAAGAGGGCATTGTATCCCTTGGAATTAGAGTTACAGATGGTTGTAAACTACAATGTGGGTGTTTGTAGTCATCTACATGAGCAGTAAGTGTCCTTAACCACTGAGCATCTCTCAAGTCACATCAATATCTGCAGCTTCAGTATACTGACAATGAAGGTGATGCTCTGATCTTATTTTGCCTCCTTATCTTTCTTGATTTCTTTTGAGCATGAATGAGCAATGGAGTATGAAGTCGAACCATTCTATTGCCTTAACTCTGAATTTGGAGAAATATCAAGTGATATGGTTGATTTGTTTATTTTTGATGTCTGGAGGTAAAACTTCAGTTCAGTAGCCATATTACTTTACTACAGGGTCTAAGGGAAGATAGATGGTCTGAAACAGTAACCAGCAGGTAGCTTTCTGATCCAGGACCATCTTCTAAAGAAGAGACTAGATTCACCCTGGGGCAACTTTTCTCCTTTGTGATCAGACCATAGAATGATGAGAATGGACATGGTAGGTGTTGTCAATGAGCACCATTCTTAAGTATATATTACTGAAAAATCTCCAAGTCTGGCTGTCTCCATTCAACCTGGCCTGCAGACAGGGTATCTAGGGCTTCTTTTGAAAAGGGGTGTGCTCAGAAGCAAGGATATCTATTCCATTCAAATGTAACAAAGAGTTTGCAGGATCTTGAGGTGGAATTAAAATATTTCAGGTAAGAAGTTTTTGTAACACTATCCCTTCCCAGATTATGTGTACATTGTACATGTTGATTATAAGAGTGGCATTTCTGTTTTTAACTGGACAAAGAAGTATTATGATATGTGGTAGAGGGATGCATTGTAAGCCCAGAGAGGAGCAAACCTGGCAAAATGAGAAGCCATGCAAATATTAACAAAAACTGAAGGAATCATACTTATAGAAACCTATGATTCCTATAATAAGCCATGTGGTTTGAGCATAGACAAAAGGCATTATAATTCACTAAAAAATTTCACATTTTGCTATTGATTTCAAATGAAAACTAGAATTGTGACAGGAGGAAGGACCAGAGAGAACAGTTGCCACCAGGGAGAATTACAAGTAGAGATCAGGTCTTCTTGCCTCTGAGAACATATAATGTAACAGAAAAATGAAAACCAATAAAGGATGAGTTTAAAAGAGCTGATAATGGTGTTAGGATTATCAAGGACTGCTGTTGTACACTGATGAACAGTGTCATTTGTGTTTCCAGGTTGCTTGATGTCTGACACATGGGTTATACCTACTTGTCCTGTAATATATGGATTTTCTTAATATCAGTTTAAATATCTTACTTTTAACAAACCCCTCTATATTAGTTTTTAAATTTTGCATATATATATATATATATATATATATATATATATATATATTTTTAAAACACAAATTTTGGGCTAGGGCAAAGGTTTTTAGCCTTACAGCCATGGAGATATTGGTTCAATATCCCAGAAACAAATTGCTGAACACAGTGGGATGTAACTTGAAATTCCAGTTCTGGGGCGACTGAGACCTCTAGTCTTTACTTCTTAAGATCTTTGTGATAATTCCTCCATCTCAATTGCTTTTTGTTCAATAGTATCTACAAAGTGTCTTTGACTATGCATAATAATTCCTTGGTGTGTGTTCAGGGGAGGGTCATCATTCTTTTTACCATAACTTCGAAGTAGTTTCCTTGACTTTGCTTCAGCTTTATCAATCAAGTCAAACACAGCTGTTCTTAAATGGTCAGTGGGAGTCTCTCCTGGAAATCTGTCATCATCTATTTCCGAAAACTCAGAAGGCAAGTGTTTATTATATCCATTTTATAAATGGGCAAATTGAGTGTTGCTTAAATTAAATGACTTATTCAGCCTGTAAGAAATGGGGGATGGGATTGAGTACAATAGATCTTTCTGAAAGAAAAAAAAAAAAAAAAAACCTCACTCATTCCTTTCAATGTTAAATTCCAACTTCAAGGTAAACATTCATACTATGAAATGCATGGATAAGACACATGCCAAAATTTCACACTCTTGCTGTCTTAGTGACTGCAGAGGTACACTAGATGGCCAATATAGCACTCCTTGATAGTCAGCTATTACCCTTGCCCCAAAAGTTGGGAACAGCCCAGACTCCTTTTCATTCTCTTAGGATTCTGCTCAGGATACCCTGGGTTTGTAGGAGACACACCCAAGTGCCCTGCATGAGTCACTGACTCTGCCCGGAGCTAAAATATGATGAGGCAGGAAGTCTTTGGCTGCTCCAGTCAGTGAAATGGTTTTCATTACAGTATTTCTGCCGAGAGCAGCATTTCTGTCTTTTGCTCCCTATCACCATGACTACAGAACTGTGGGCATCTGACTGAGCTGGCAGGAGAGTGCTGATACAAGGCATGGAGAGCCCTGAGTTGGAGTTCAGGCGACCCAGATAAGGCATCAGCATTGCTTCTGACTAGTCTTTTGACCTTGGGGCCTAATGTCTGAGTCTTTAGTCCTTTCTACAGCCTTGGTCCCTCGCCACTGTTACAAATTAATCACTATTCCTTCTGTCCCTTTCCAGGTGGTATAACATTCTGAAGTGCCTTGGGTTTCCTTGATGGAGCCATGATGAACCATGTTGCCATCACAGTGGCCAAAAACCTGTTTATCATCTCAGCGAATAGGAACAAGCTGAACAGACTTCTTGCTTTCAGTATGGGTGCCCTGGTGATGAACAGAGTTAAGAAACACAATCTAGAACTAAGAATGAAGGGACCTAGATCAGTGGCAGTCCAACATAAAAGGGCATACTGAAGAAAAGAAGGTATCTTTCTTTACTTTTTAAACTTATTCTTTTGAAATGATGTGTCTTGTCACTCAGGTTAGCCTCAGGCTTCCCATGTAGGCCAGAATGACCTTGCGTTTCTGATCTTGCTGCCTCTGCACTTGAGTGCTAAGACTGTATGTAACACCATGCCCAGCTTACGCAGTTCAGGGTGTCAAATGCAAGGCCTCTAGGCTTTACAGGTATGTGCAAGTATGTGAAACTACACCCATGCATTCTGTATCAGCTTCCATTGTCTGGAAGAGAGTGTGTTCTCATTTCTTAGGTTCTAATGCTTGCCCAGTTTATGCAGTTCTGGGTGTCAAATGCAAGGGTTTATTAGGCTATGCAAGCACTGTACCAATTGACCCATGTCCCCCAACCTTCTTAAAATTTTCTAGGCCAGGAAGCACATTATAAAGACAAAATGGGGTTCTGACATCAAAGGACCAGTTGCAAATGAGTATACAAATTTCTATCTCAGGATAGTATCCAATTCATGAACTAACTGCTATATGTTTCTCTAGAATATTTGTAAGTAATGATACTCATTAAAAAGTATGTGTCCTTGTAGATTCCTGGGAGTTTTCCTGGTAGCAGGTTTTTCCCTAACCTTGAAATAGGTCAAGGTCATGACAGAGGCACCCACAGAGACAGCTGAACTGAGTTTGTGGAAGCACATGGACTCTGGATAAACCAGTAGGGTACTTGCATGGGACCAACCTAGGACCTCTGAATGTGTATGACAGTTGTGTAGCTTGGTGTGTTTGGAAGGCTCCTAGCAGTGAGATCAGGACCTGTCCCTGGTACTTAGCTGGCTTTTGGGAACCTGTTTCCCAACCTGAAATTACCTAGGCCAGCCTTTATGCAGGGGGAGGAGCTTGGTCCTATCTCAACTTGATGTTCCATGCTTTGTTCAAGCCCATGGGAGGCCTGCCCCTTTCTGAATGGGGATGGAGGAGGAATAGATGGGGAGAGTAGTATATGGGAGTTGAGAGGGGAGGGAATGAGAGAAAAGGAAGGAGGGAGAAATCTGGTGGGAAATGTAAAATAAATAAAATCACGCTAATAAAATAAAATATGTGTCCTTAAAGTAGTAGTGCTTAGACAAAGCTTGATGCATAAGCTATCTCAGTCTTTACATGATGAGAGTTTGAAGACCACTTGCAGGGAACTTAGAATCCTGGCTCTGCTACTAATATCCAGGTTATTGGAACCTCATCTTTTGAATGTGTGTAGGGAATAATGATAAAGAAGAGACCCACATCTTAGCACTCTGAGGGCTGAAGAACCATTAGAATGTCTGGTTGGTTAGTTCTGTGGAAACACAAATAAGTGGATCCTCTTCACTTTTCTTGAGTCTTCAGTGGAGAAAGGAACTTCAGATCTAGAAACAGAACCCCTGGGCTTTCAGAGGAGACTCATCCACTCATCAGTTGTGTTATCTTAGACAACGTAACTCTCTGACTTTCAAGATTTTTAATCTTGAGACTGAGGGTACAATGAAAGGATCATCATCATGGTGGTGGGTTAATGAAATAATGTGTGTAAAGACTTCAGCAGTGTACCTGACATGTGGAATTTGTTTGCTTCATCTGGATGTTATCCTATTGTTCTGTGATGGACTTAATTAACATTTATATCCTGCTTTGAGTTGAATTCCATTTTCTGAGGTGTTGGGAAACATTATTTGCTATTTAGGGCAGAGTTAAGCCTTTCTGTTGAGCTCACACACTTGTAAATGTGTGCATGAAACTGTGTCCTGATGTAGAACAAGGAGCACATATTTTTTCTGGCATCCTTATTTTCTAATTCTGCAACATCTGCAAATAATTAATGGAGAGAGCAGCCTTACAGCTGGCCACCCAAATGCATCTTAAACATTTAACTTGAAAATCTAGAAGGATGAACCCAGAAAACTTCTATAAATTTCAAAATACACATTAGGGACTTAGATATATGCTGTTTAAACATATACCTAAGATGACTCAAGATTGGCTGAGTACAAACTTTGTGGATGTCAGGGAAAGGGCAGTAAAGGTAAGCTGTGTGCCTTCAGCTTGCCTGGACTAACTTTGGGAACAGAATTAGATGGCAGGAGATTTGGCTCAACTCTTGGCTCTTGTACATGCATGAATAAATTCAGAGGGCAAAGGACAGTGAGGAAGTATTGGACAGAAATGGCAGGACAGGAGGCAATATCTGGGATCCTTTTAGAAGTCAGTTGCTTTTTATCAGGAACAGAGGCAATAATATGTATACATTTACAGAGTAATTGCAATGTATGGGATGTCTTTCTCTTGAGTTGACAGTGGTTTAATGCTATTTTATAAGCGAAGGGACTGAGGATCAAAGCGTTTTTTTAAAAGTTGCCCAGATCTGTAAAGTTCACAAATACAAAATGAGAACTTAGATGCTGATATATTTGATGTGAGACCTCTTTGATGAAGTTGTTAAACGGAGCATATGTCATCTATGGAAGAATTTGAATATTGGTGTATTTGAAGGCAGAGCAAGGGATCAAATAAACTTTTGGACAGGAGATATCTTAGACATTTTTCTATTTCTGAATTGAAGATGCTGTGTTCAGCTCAGTAAGTAATCTGTTGAATGTTTCTGGTATCTCTCTCTGTCTCTCTCTGTCTCTCTCTCTGTCTCTCTCTCTGTCTCTCTCTCTCTCTCTCACTTGCTTGGTGTGTGTGTGTGTGTGTGTGTGTGTGTGTGTGTGTGTGTGTGTGTTTATGTCTGTGTTAAAGTGTGTGTGTTTGTGTGTATGTGTAATTATTACATCTTCTAAAAGGCATGGTGCTGATTTTATCTACTTGGAAGTTACCTGTCTGATATTTGCTGGAGAGTTAGTTTCATTTTTGACTAAATATTTGGAAACTCTAACTTCAATTCAGACCTAGGATGATTTAAAATTGCTTACATATGTTTCTTTAGCTTTTGTTTCCCATGTTTGGATGGAGAGAGGAGCAGATGTGTTTCCAAATGAGCATTAGTCTCAAAGTACTTTGGATGTGGGATATCCATCCCTTGGTCCAAGGGATGGTTATCCCATCCTCATTTACTCTGGCCCCTAAGATGAGACACCTTCCTTCACCTACCATCCTTCTGTCATGGTCCAAACTATGACTGATATCACTTAAAATTATGATGAATGTTCTAATTATTGTCTCTGCCTCAAGCCTTCCTTCCTGTCATGCTAATAACATTGTCAAGACTTTTATATTATAAAGTGATACAAGCTTATACAAAAGCCCCAGCATGAGACTGATCCAGACTCCAGGAATATGGGTTTCAGTGAGGAAACCTCAGAAATCTACAGGACCTCCTGTAGTAGTTCACTACTTATCCCCAGCATAGGTGTGGACTTTGGGAGCCCATTCCACATAGAGGAATACTCCCTGAGCCAAGACACACAGGGGAGTGCCTAGGCCTTATCCTAAAGGATACTATAGACTCTGATGACACCCTATGGAAGGCCTCACCATCCGGGAGGAGCAGAAAGGATATGTGATAGGTAGGGTTTTAGTTGGGGGGGGGGGGTAGGGGAGGGAGGGAGGGAGAAGGGAACTGGGATTGTTATGTAAAACAATCCTGTTTCTAATTCAAATAAAAAAATCTGGAAAAAAACAGCATGTATCCATTTAGCTTTATAAATTGTATCACAGTACACTTGATAGTTGACTTCCCTACAAAAATGTTCTTCAAGCATTGTTGTTAGAAAAAAATCTCCAGTTTGCCTTCCAAATTTTTTACCAATCCACCTATTCAACAGTATTCTGTGGGAGTTTACACAAAAAATTAAACTTAATAAAATAACACAAATAAATTAAACACTGAAACTTAACAAAAAATTCACATTGTCAGATATTAGCCAGTCTGATGGGTAGGAGGTAGGGGAAACTCTCATTTTTATAAATATATGTTTGTTGGAAACATTTATTCAATCTCTTTATTGCATTTTAACTTGCATCCATTAGCGAAAGTAGCTATCCTTTATTACATTCCATGTGTGCTGAGATTTTCTCTTGTGATTTGTCTGTTAGAGTCTTTGATGATTTTTGGCTTGATAGTTAGGATTTATTGTATTGGTATGTGGACAATTTTTCTCTTGAAGAGATAATAATAATTCTTTGTTGTTTAACAGCTGGCATAGGCTAGACATGGTACTCCACTCACTTGAGAGGTAGAAGAGGAAGACCAGGTGTTCAAGGACAACTTTGTGTATATATTGAAAGGCGATGGAAGAGCCTGACTATCAATCAACTAAGCACCAACCAAACATGGGTTCAAATCTTGTGAATAACCCTTTCAAGCTGATGGCTTACTGTTCACATTTCTTGTGTTTTCACAAGGTACAATTGTTTTAGTTTTAGTTTTCCTTGGACAACGCTAACTGGATTTAGTGGATTGTATATACAAAGAAGGAAGAGGAGGAGGAGAAATAAGGAAACATGAAGTTGAATGAGGGATGTGTTGGAGGTTACAGGAGGAGTTGAAAGAGGAAACTGATATGCTTACTGACATATTTCATTTTGTATACATCTATGAAGCCATCAAAGAATATGATGAAGAAACGTTCCATGTTTTCAGTTTTATCACTGGTACATAATTCAATAAATCCTTTATTCTGATTTCAATTGCTTTTTTCAGTCATTTTCTCAGAAAAGTTTAGAAAACTGATTTTTTTTATGTTGTAATCTTCAATTTTTGGAATTTATTTCTCTCTAAATCTGTGTTCTACTTTTGTTTTGTTTCCATATGGAAGCCCAATTGCCTCTATTCAATTTATTGAAAAGCATATCTTTTCTGTGCTGACTTACAGTGCCAACACAGATAATGCCAGTTTTCCATGAGTCTCTTTTAAAATTCAGGGTTCTATTATACTGAACTATTTATTTCTCCTTATATCAATACCATGTTCTTTTACATGCTACCGTGTTACAATGAGACTTGGTATCTAGTATTGGCATACTTTATAACTTTTCCTCAAATCTTTCATTTATACTTTAGTCTATTTGGTAATCAGAAATTCTGATTGGTCAATTTCAATGAAAACTTTTCTGGGATTTTAGCTACAATTGCAAGCAAAGGAAAACTAAACCCTACCAATTATTTAAATAGAAGAACAAGGATTGCTTTAACATAGAAAATTTTTTCTTCCACCAATATTGTTCACTTTCTTTTATGTCTTTTTAACAATTCTAAACATTTTTCTTAGACTATAAAACTTTGCTAAATATTTAGAGGGCCCTTAGAGGTTTGTTATTATTGAAAAAGTATTTTTAACTTTTATCTATATTGTAATTGGCAAAATCATTTCCAAAAATACTAAGGGATTAAAATTTGAACTAGTAACATGGTAAGTTTATTTTTTCTAGTTGCAATAAAAACTTCCTAGTTATATGGTTCTAAAGAGAAGGACAGTTTACCTCATTTTCCTGCTTTTTAAAAAATGAATGTGTAGTTTTCTTATTGTGTTGGCCAAGGATCATGATTAATGTATAAAAGTAAGGGGGGGAAATAGGCATCTTGGTTTCACACAAATTCTAAACTAACTTTCTCTGTGTAGAGCCATATCACTAAATGGGCCTTATAATGTAGGGACTAAAAATACAGTGGGCTTGAATTTAGGTTCAAGCCCACTTGATGTCACTTAAAGGCTGTATGATTTGAGCTAGTTCATTTAATCCCTTTGTAATTATGTTTTTATATTCATCAAGTGATTATGATAATAATGCTTATATCAGAAAAATGTGAACATTAAATAAATGAGTGTATGTGGGAATGTGTGTGTGTGTGTGTGTGTGTGTGTGTGCGTGCGTGTGTGAATTAGAACAACCTACTACAAGTTAAATCTCAATAAATATTTGATAAAATAAAGAAATAAACAATGTTTGGATCATATTTTGATGAAAGTTATTAATATACTCACACACACATTTTCTGTATCTTCAATTTTTGATATGGCAGACTTAGGCAAAACTTGTAATTTGCTCCATTTATCATCATTATAAGGTGAATATTTCTTTAGTTTTGTAGCTTTTTTTTGGAATTGGTATGCATCTTACAGCCATTGTCTGAAAGGTGCTTTCAGGTAGCAACTTATACTTCTTTTACATGTGCAAATGGAGTATATAATTAGATAGCAATGCTCTGATAATCTGTTTTGTTTGTTTGCTTGTTGTGTTTATTTCAGAGATAGTAATGACACAAATAGACATGGCAAATTAGACTTGGGAGAGTTCAGGGGTCCTCAATCCTATGCAAAGATTTACAAGCAACTGAGAAGATGTGGGAGCAGAGGAAGTGGTCTTCCCCAGGGAAGATCACAGCAATTAGTTCTGCCATGCCAAACATTGGCCTTGAAACATGCTCTGATATGTTTAACTGAGCTATTTGTATTTTAAACTCTTCAGTAAGGTTACAGAATGATGGGCATTGAAAAGAGCATCGACAATGTAAAAAGACAGGCAGTGACTTAGCAAACCTTGGAACCCACATCAGAGCTGCACATGTCATTGCCCATGGTGCCTTGAACACAGCAGGTACATTGCCTGTAAGAAATTACAGGTCCTAATCTCTGAACTGTAACTCAGTTGAGGTGGGCAGAATTCTGAATACAAAAAGAAAGATATTTTGGACTTACTCAATTTATGTTTTGCTATTCTGCATGCACCAGTGTGAGCTAGAAGTATTTGAGATTACATAAGTCAAGATGAGCTTATTGTTATGTATTCTTATAAGAAAACTAATTAGAGAGTGTGTTGAGTTGATCATATAAAGATCAACTTTATATGTAGTGTGTGTGCATATATATACATATGGAGATAGATGTACATGATAGAGATAAATATATAAAAAGATAAGTGAAAGATAGAGGTACAGATAAACTGGAAGTAATTGATTAGAACAATTGTGAGTGTTAATTAAGAAAGTTTGAAGGGTCCACTCAAGGCCTGTGATTTTTATTATATTCTTTTTATATTTCATTATGTGCTTCTTCCATTTTATCTAGGTTTGATGCATGATTTCTTCTTCTTTACTATCTCTGTAACTAGACCTTACTGAAGGTTTTATTAGAAGACTTTCTTGAGCCTGAAACTTTCTATACTAGTGATTGTCATGTTGATTTTATTTTTCATGTGGCTTTGATTTCACTTTTATTTTTATTCAGACACTCATCGTTTTAAAGGATTAGCTACGTTGTGTGTTAGGTGATTTTGTTTTGTATGAGTGTCTTAGTTGAAGGCGTATTCTTTAGTGTGATTATTTCCTTCTTTATCAGAAGATGTGAAATGTTTTCTTGCAGTGGACCTTGAGGCTGCTATGCAAGGATGTGTTTCATGCCAACTGTTTAAAATTCCTGCTCTATGGTGATAGTGGTGTTATTTCACTCCGCTACTTAAGGAGCATATCTGGCTTGTTTCAGCTTGACCTTTGAGGCTAAGCAAACTTCACATACATAGGCCTTTTTCCACCAGGTGTCTTCATTCCTGGCAAGTAGATCATTTAATTATCAGTCTCCCTTAGCAGAAGGGAGTCTAACTCTAGTCATCAGTCTACTTTATGTTGAGTGAACATTATGAACCGCTGTCCCCATAAAGCAGAAATTCTGTTGAGCCTGGAATCCAGAAGATTAACAGTTTATCCCTCACCATATAATGCCAGCCTATCCCTTCCCACAGGTTATTTGTTACAATTCTTGTCCTCTCACTCTTAGAGATGATGACCCCAGGTTAGAAGCTATCCAGGACATTTGAAATTTCTCATATTTGCCATTCACCACTGTTACAAGTTGGGATGAAGCCACAATGCCTGGATTTCACCCTGTTTCCTACCTGGCCAGCTTTGTGGTATTTCCTGTATGCCTACTTCATTATGAATGTCACCTCCACTTTATGAGATTTCCTTGCTTCCTGTTGAACGTAGGGCAAGTGAAAGTGTACTATTTGGCCCTTAATTACTCGGTTATGTCTTCCACTTCTAGGAAGCTGCTCTTAATTCCCTTAACACACCAGGCTTTAAAAACAGACTTTTCTCCATCTGATATGTGATCATCTCTCAGACTGCTTGTATTTAATCATTTGGTCTTACTCAACTCTGCATTTAAATGTATTTTCATATATTAATTGTGCAGTGTAATAGGTTTGTTGGGAGATTTTCATAAACTTGAATAATTTACTTTGATTATTCATCTCCATTGCTCTTTCTCTACCTTTTCTCACTTATGATAATTTCCTTCTTCCCCCAAAATAGTTTTCCTCCTTCTTCCATCTCCCTTACTGTTACTTCCTCCTCTATTTGTTATTTTGCAAACTCTCTTTCCCAACCTAGCTCCCATATGATAACATTTGTCCCATTTCTAATTACTTTTGATCAGTTTTTCCTTTATGACTAATGTTTTCTATAAGAGTGTATGACCCACTCATTTATTTCTCAGTCACCACACCTAGCACATTGTGGACATTAGCAAATAGTAGGAGAGTAAGCAAATAGAAGGGCATGTGATTTGCCATTCGGTCTGTTTCTTGTTGCAATTCATTGGGCCCTTTGCCTTTTATGTGGTATGGAAGAAACACATTGCTCTAGTTGCAGCAGCACAGCAGGGGACTCACTGACCTCAATCTTAACATCAGCAACATTCTGAGCTTCTTCCCAGGATGAAACAGAAGGTGATGCAAGACTGGTATGGAGTTGATGCGGTCCAGAGGAGGGGAGCCAGAATGTCCAGGATTCTTCATTACCACATAGTGCAGCTGTGGTGTGGCACTTGACCTCTCTGGGCCTGGAATGGTTATGATTGTATGGTAATTATTGGTGCATCAAACTCTCTTGGCCTTGCCTGTCCCTCAGACTGGTAGCAGGAAAGATCATCTGAGTTCAGAAGCTCTTGTGAGACCAATATGCCTCTTTCCTTTCTGAAGCAGTCCTGGTTGAGTGCACTTGGACAAAGGCTATGGCCCTGGCCTCAGCCAGCTGGTGCTGAGGAACCCACATTTTAGTTACTGACCACAAAAGCCACTCTGTAGCCTTGATTTCAAGATCATATTCCAGGGAAAGCTTTTGGTGTGCCAGAATTTCTTTCCTTCCATTTCCATCACCATTTTTTTCTGTGCAATGTAGTTAAACCATTTGCCTTTTATGTATAGGTCAACATAGTGACCTCATAAAAGTCAAGATGTGCAGATATAAGAATCTCTTTTGGTATTATTTAAAATTGATCATTTGAAGAAATAATAAAAAGATGAGGAGGTATTGAAGACTGAAATCTATGGTGCTTGTAGATTGTTACCTGTCTTCTCCAGACTTGTAACTGTTTCCAACTTGCATTTTCTCTGCCTAATATACTTAGGCAATTTCTTTTCTTTTCTTTTCTTTCCTTTTTTTTTTTTTTCGAGACAGGTTTTCTCTGTGTTGCTTTGGAGCCTATCCTGGCACTCGTTCTGGAGACTAGGCTGGCCTTGCACCCCCAGACACCCCCCTGCCTCTGCCTCCTGAGTGCTGGGATTAAAGGCATGAACCATCAACACCCAGCAGCAATTTTCCTTTAGCATACATATGCAAATTTCTTAATTAGCTTTTCTACTGGGGTTACATGTTAGAATTGCACCATAGTTACTTTTATGCATTTCCCTTG